GCCCAGGCTGGCCTCGAACTCACAGAGATCCGCCTGGCTCTGCCTCCCGAGTGCTGGGATTAAAGGCGTGCGCCACCACCGCCCGGCTCTAATAAACTCTTATAAGCGGATTCTGTCGTGTTTCGTGACACTTCCTTGCAGGGTAAGAACACAACGCAGCTAAATAACTAACATTAATCATATGTTTTTTTAATGAGTTTCCAGCACAGAGTGTTACCCCAATTTAAGGTCACCTTTTTCTCACCCAAACTACCATGAATACCTATTTATACACTTATATACATACTTTCATATAACCTGAACACAAAACTGAATTATCTTTTTTTATTTTTTGTGATTTTTTCTTTCTAAGATTATAATATAATCACATTTCTCCTTCCTTTTCCTCCCCCTAAACCTTCCAATATGCCACTCCTTGTTTTCTTTAAAATTCATGCCCTCTTTTTTCATTAAGTGTTATTGCATGCATATACTGTATCTCACAAGGTATTTCTGAATACACATGTGATCAGATGAAAACAGAATATATGCAGTATTATCATAATACAAAACAAAAAAAACACCAAGTTTTTTATACTGAGAAGCAGCTACACTTTTAAAACAGTTATGTTTAATTATAATATCAAACACTGGCAGAATAAAAGCATTTTGTTTAAACAGACCAGTGATCAGAAAGGTTTTGAACAGCTAGGAAAAAATAATTTAAGAGTAATACCACAGCAACAATCTATTGGCTCTATTTTTAAACAGGAAAAACTAAATCACCTAATGAAATGTCCATTAACTGTGATGTTGAAAAAGTATACAGAGAACGGAGAGATAATGGCTCAGCAGTTAAAAGCACTCACACCTCTTCCAGAGGATTTAGGGTCAAATCTGAGCACCCACATGGTGGCTCACAACCATCTGAAACTCCAGTTCCAGGGGTTCTGACTCCCTCTTCTAGCCTCCCCAGGTACTTAACACACATGGTACACAAACATACCTGTAGAAAAAACACCTATACACATGAAAAATACATTTAAAATGTTTTTAAAAGTGTGTACACATACCTTGTCATTTTCTCTCTTTTTTGACAATCGACTGTATCTGTTAATTGCAGCATCATGATCTGGAAAACAGAAATGAGTGTTAACAGTAAACCATACTTTGCAAAACTACACCTGTACTAGAGCTAGGTAAAAATTCTCTACCATGTGATTACTACATTCAACTTTTCCCCACAGCCTCGTTTCCCTTAAATTATGTGACTATGTATCAAACTGTGAGAAAATACTAACTTCCAAAGAAATTATTATCTATTAAAAATGCCTGTTCTTTTCCAAAGGGAAATGGAGGAACAATGGATCTGGGAGAGTGGGGGTGGGGATGGGAGTGAGGGGGGGTGGGGAGGTCAGGGAGGTGACTGGGAGGAGTGAAGGGAAGGGAAGAATGTGGTAGGAATGTATTGTATAAGAGAAGAATAAATAAAAAGAAAAAGGAAAAACATTATTTTCAATTAAAAATTGGAAAACTCTTTTTTAAAAAAAAAAAATGTGGTAGAGTGTTTCCCTAGCATGCACAAGGTCCTGGCTTCAAGACCTGGCACAGAAAGAGAAGAGAATATGAGTGGAAAAGAAAGAAAGAGGAAGGCCAGGGAGTGGTAGTACAAGCCTTTAATCTCAGCACTCAGGAGGCAGAGGCAGGCATATCTCTGTGAGTTCGAGAACAGCCTGGTCTACAGAGTTAATCCCAGCAAAGCCAGGGCAACACAGAGAAACTCTGTCTCAAAAAAAAAGAAAGAAAGAGAGAGAGAGAGAGAGAGAGAGAGAGAGAGAGAGAGAGAGAGAGAGAGAAAGAAAGAAAGAAAGGAAGGAAAAACTGGAATGTTTAGGAAATAAGTAAAAGAGAATATTTAGACCCTCTTTAGGCATTACGAGGATAGCAAATTTTAAGACTGCTATAACTGCCATTCAAATATTTTTTTGTAAAAAGCATATTCAAAGTATCTCCACTGATTTAAATGTTATATCAACCATTTAATTGAGCTAATTTTTTTAATTACAAAAAAATCAGCAATGATGTACACTAATAGATGAATGAAAGAAATTAGTGTATAACACATTCAGCACTTACCATTACTAGCAATCTGAAATACCTCTTTTAGTGTCAGTATTTCTGAAAAAGTTCAAAAATAATTTCAGTTTAGCATACTTATGAAATATTTTATCCTATTTATAAAGCAACTAGTACCATTTAAGCCATAACTAAAACTCAAACAGGAATTTATAATCAAGGTGAAAAGATTAGTTTCAGTTGGTCTACTAAGCATTCAAAATCATTAGCAATATATCACCAGAAGATCTACTTACCATAAATACAAGACAAAAGCCACTTTAAATGTTAAGAAATGCAAATACTGACAATACTAGAATCTAACATGTTAATTTGTTTTTTATATATATTAATAATTTCAAATACTGAGTGAAAAAGAAAAGATTATGCCATTCAGTCTCCTTAGATTGTGACTTGTTCTTTCTACCTTGGAACTGACTACTCTTAAGGATCATTTCAGTTATTGGTTCCATCTCTAAAAGACACTTGTCTTTAATTCAAGCTCTTTACCATTCACTGATATGCAGGACTTTTTTTTTTTAACCTACCTTCGAGTTTATAAACTATTAAAAGAACCAGATCTATAGACACTCATTTGGTCACCAACTAACCTTATTACCTACCAACTAGTAAGTGTACTAACTACTACAGTTTAGATATGCCTGTGCCTCTAGTCCCCTGCCTACATAAACCTCTACTCTGCGCCGCTATCACCTTTCCGCCTTCTTTATTCCCTCACCGGACTCTTACAACTTCTTAGTCTCCTAGATAGCAAACTCACTCTCTTCTCTCTGAAAACAAAGGACGGTGTCTCTTTGCTCCTTTAGAATCCACTGGCTTGTTTTTGTTCATATACTTAAGTTCAACATCTTTACCATGCTTCACTTCCATCTCATCCTCTTGTACATTCATCTCTTGCCTTGCTTCAGCACGTCCAGCACTGATTTCTTATTATTCTCAGAATAAGTGATATATTTCTACAACCTATACCTTTGTGAATTCTCTTCTCCCTAACAGAACTCCTTTCTTTCTCTTAAGACATTTCTCTTCATTGTAAAATGCTCATGTCATGTTTTTGGTAAAGCCTTTTTGATCATTTCCTCTGAGCCCACATAGCACCTTCTCATTACCTAATTATGAAACACTGTTGTGCTAAGCCATCTACTTTTTGAGGAAAAGACATTATTATTTGTTAGGAACTAGTTTAATATCTATCAAGCACTTCCATAAATGTTTAGTAACTGTTTAAACTAAAAGTGGCATGTTGTGGTCAGAACTGGTTTAGATAGGAAATAAAATGCACTCTACTAGCACTGATCTGACAACTGATGACTTTATGATATAAACATAAGGTTGACTTCAATACCTTTCAGATCTCTTTCTTTAAACTGGGAAATGGGGAACATCATGGCATCGGCAAGTTGAGTTGAAAGTACCGCATGACAAGAACTAAGCTAGTAAAAGAAAGACCAAAGAGACCAAATAACTAACAGATGACACAACTAATAAATGTCCATACATAGACATTTGCCAATGTTCTATAAATTTCAATCTAGTCTTTTAAAAGACTGATATAGTTTTACATATGGAAACAATAAAAATTATGTAGTATAATATGAAATATTATATGGTAAAAGAGAAATTCCTACCAGGCGATGATGACACACACCTTTAATCCCAGCACTTGGGAGGCAGAGGCAGGCAGATGTCTGTGAGTTTGAGGCCAGCCTGGTCTTCAAATTGAGTTCCAGGATAGCAGGACTACATAGAGAAACCATGTCTCGAAAACTCAAAAAAAGAAAAAAGAAATTCCTTATTTTTCTACTTGTTTTCTTTTTGTGAGACAGAGCCTCTCTACATAGCTCCAGTGGTCCAGGCTTGCCTCGCACTCAGAGATCTACCTGCCCCTGCCTTCTGAGTGCTGGGACTAAAGATGTGCGCGATCATGCCCAGCCTGAAACTTTTAGAAAAAAAATTTAGGAAGATCTTTTATTTGACAACACTCTCTTAGATATATCAAAAACACAAGCAACAAAATAAAATGCTAAAATGGACTCTATTAAAATAAAAACTGTGCACCAGAAGATACTATCAAGAAAGTTAAGATAATAAAGAGAATGAAAAAACATTTGCCAGACATGTCTTACGAGAAATTTGAATCTAGGTAATGAACTCTTACAATTTAATAATAAAAAGTAAATAGCCCATTTAAAAATGGGCAAATGGCCGGGCGGTGGTGGCGCACGCCTTTAATCCCAGCACTTGGGAGGCAGAGCCAGGCGGATCTCTGTGAGTTCGAGGCCAGCCTGGGCTACCAAGTGAGCTCCAGGAAAGGCGCAAAGCTACACAGAGAAACCCTGTCTCGAAAAAAAAAAAAAAAAAAAAAAAAAAAAATGGGCAAAGGATGTGAACAGATACTTTCCCAAAGACTACAAATGGTTAATAATCACATGAAAAAATGCTCAATATCGATTAACTATCCAAACACTGCAAGTCAAAATGACTTTACTCCCATTAAATGATTACTTTTCATTTTATTTTTATTTTTTTTTTTTGGCATTTTGAAACAGGGTTTCTCTCTGTAGTCCTGCTGTCCTGGAACTCACTCTGTAGACCAGGCAAGCCTCAAACTCATAGAGATCCTCCTGCCTCTGCCTCCCAAGAGCTGGAATAAAAAAAAGCCATGTGCCACCACCACCCAACTCAAATGGTTATCATTTTTAAAATAAAAATTATTGCTAGGAAGGATAAAAAAAAAATAGAACTCTCTTATACTGTTTATAGGGTACACATAAAATAATCTGGTGATCCCTCAAAAAGTTAGATACAAAATTACCACAAAACCAAGCAATCCCACTCCTGAGAATATACCAAAAAAGAACTGAAAGCTGGTATTTAAAAGGTCAAACTAGGGGGCTGGAGAGATGGCTCAGCGGTTAAAAGCACTGGCTGCTCTTCCAGAGGACCCAGGTTCAATTTCCAGCACCCACATGGCAGCTCACAACTATCTGTAACTCCAATTCCAGGGTACCCGACACTCATACAAATATACATGCAGGCAAAACACCAATGCATATAAAAAAATAAAATAAAAGCTCAAACTAGTATATGAATGGTCATAACTAAACAGAACACCCATGAATGGATAAACAAAATGTGGTAATATATATCTATACAATGAAATTTATTCAACCAAAAAAAAGGAATGAAAGGCTAATTTAATTTATATAAACTATCCAAACAGGCAAATATATAGAGACAGAAAGCAAAATTATAATCATTGACAAGGACTTGGGAAAATTTGAGGGAAAGTGATAGATTAAAGGGAAAAGACTTCTTTTAGGATAATGAAATGTTTTTGTTTTGTTTTGTTTTGTTTTTCAAGACAGGGTTTCTCTATGTAGCCCTGGCTGTCCTGAAACTCACTCTGTAGACCAGGCTGGCCTCACACTCACAGATAGCTAGCTGCCTGCCTCTGCCTCCCAAGTGCTGGGATTAAAGGCTTATGCCACCATCACCCAGAAATGAAAATGTTCTTGATCTAGACAGCTATTATGGTTGTACAACACTGCAAATAGATTAAATATCATTAATGTTAATATATTTTATTTTACCATAATTAAAAAAAATAGAAAATATTCCTATAAGCATTTTTTTTGTTTACTTTAAGTGCCAGGGGTCAGAGCCTACTACTCACATATGCTAGTCAAGTATTCTACCACTAAGCTACATCCCTAACCCATTAGTATTACTTATACTGTTAGCCTCAGAAAATATTCTGCTATGATGAGTTATTAAGATATTAGAAAAGCTGGGGCTAAGTGGTAGAGGACTTACCGAGCACATGTGAGGCCCTGGGATGGATCCCAAGCATGGCAAAAAAGTATGTATATGAGAATAATCACACAAACAATCACAGCTTTTACAGCAAGAGTAGAGAACAGTTATGGTTCTCCATACACATCTCACTACTTTTCTTCTTCTAACTTCTAGACCTTCATGTTGTTACTGTTTTGTGATCTGTTATGATTAATGGTTTGAGAAATTAAGGACTAATTTTGGCTATTTTGCATGGATTAATGAGGACTGAACAGTAAAGTGTTGCTCAATAGCAAAAGAAAAACCACAAAGTGCCTAACTACAGCAGACAGCTTCATTCTTCTCTGTCTATATCAAATAACAGTAAAAAAAAATTTTTTTTGAATGTTTCATGGAATGATTCATCTATTCATAGGAATAGATGAAGCTCACAGATAAGTTTATTCTGGGGAAAATGTTTTAATTAGATAAGAAAATATTGATATTATGAAAACCATCATGATGTGGAAATTGTGCCTTCTGATACTATTCTTTGTAACAAAACTTCTTATAGAATCAGAACTACATTGCTTCCCCACATAAAGGCTGGGAAGATGGCTCAGTGGGTATCAGCACCTACTACCAAGTCTGATGACTGATCCCTAACCCCAAGGATTCAGATGGTAGGAGAGAACCTATTCCTGCAAGTTGTCCTCTAACCACCACACACAAACTATGGTGCCCTTGTACTCACTCATGAACACACACAATATAAATTTTTATAGTTTTCAGTAAAAGCTGAATAACTTGAGTAACTTAGTTATAAAACCACCTATTCAAACAAGACCAAAACTTACCTCATCTATAACCTTTGAAAACTGCTGTAAAGTAGAGCTCATAACTTCATCATCACCCCCCAAAGGAAAACGCTGAAAATTGAGAAATACATATGAGATAAATGTTCAATGCTGTATTTTTATGAATAACAGAATTTGTGCTTTCAAGTAATGTTAGAAACTTCCAGCCTCAACTGAATGTACCAGGCTCTACTGACTCCCCATGGGAGACCTTGACTTGGAGGAGGTGGGAATTTGGGGGTGGGTTGGGGGGGAAGGCTGGGAGAAAGGAAAAGAGAGGAGGAGGGATTGTGGTAGGTATGTAAAATGAATAGAAAATTTCTTAATAATAAAACAAAAAGAAACTTCTAAAATTTTGAGCATGCTCCAAAAATACCCCTTTAATAAAAGAATCTTCATAATTAATCAACACTATTTTAAATGTCTATAAAGTAATCAACTAACATGATATACTGGAATGTGTAGCACAAATTCTAATTGGACTTAATAATTAAAAACCCAAAGTCAGATATTGGGGTAAATGCTGAAAGATCAGAGAAGTAAAGGAGCAGCCGAAGTCACCTCTCACCTCCCTGACTCCTCAGACCAAAAAGGAGATGAGCTCCTGTCACCACCCAACTATATATATATATCACTTTCTGTTTCTTGTCTATACAGACCTACAGACCTCTATGGTTTACTAATAGCTAGCTCCACCCTCTGATCTTCAGACAAGATTTATTTGTTAAAGCACAAACAAAATATCATCACAGGAATGTACTCAATACTAGGAGTTCAAAGATTTGGCTTTAGCTCAGGTTTCTCCAACAACTAACAGCATAAACTTGAACAAAGCTCAGTTTCTTTGTTAGTAAAAAGGAGAAATCTAGAAAAGCAGACAACCGTGGTTCTAACATTAAGTCACTAACAATAAGGACTTGGTGAAATTTCAATGGCGTATTTTGTAAATTCAAGAAGTCCTACGAGGCCATGCATGGTAGTGTATGCCTTGAATACCAGCACTCGGAAGGTTAAAGCAGGAGGACCAAAAGTTTGAGAAGAGCCTGATCTATATGTTTAGAGCCTTGCTCTAAAACACTAAAAGATTCTGGATGAAAAAGTTTTCACACACACACACACAGAGTTACATATGTTAAACCATGCTTTCAAATCTTGCTATATGTACCTGCTTTTCATATTCTTTTAGAAGTTTCGATGTCAGATGTGTTGCTGCACTTAGTTCATTCTAAGGAAAAAGACCAGGATTCAAATTAGCACAATATACAGTTAAGAAAAAACGTTAACTGATGATCTCTAGGCCACCTTCATTTATTATCACTTTATACCATACATGTATTTTTTTTTAACTTCTCAGCAATGGAAAAGGAACTACCATTAAAAGTGTTAACTGGGGTGAATGATGTGAAACTCCCAAAGAGTCAATAAAGAAGTTAAAAAAAAAAAAAAGTGTTTCAAAAGAAGATATAAACCAGAAGAGAAGCACTGTCAAGGAATTCAGCAATGTTACAGGTACATACTTTTTCCTTTTCTTTTTTTAAGACATGGACTTATGTAGCCCAGGCTGGCCTCAAACTTGCTATGTAGCTGAGGATGGCCTTGAACTACTGATCCTCTTGCCTCTGCCTCCCAAGTGCTGAGATTACAGACATGCAATACCATACCCAGCTTTAGGTACATGTGTTTTATCTGTTTTTCTGTTTTGTTTTAAGGGGTTCTGCTGGTGAAAAATAAGCACTAAATATATTTAGCGCTAGAGGTAAACTGTACATAATGTCAGCAAGATCTATAGAGATTCTATGAGAATGACTGATTATTCTTCAATTTAGAGACTAGGAGCATTCAATAACATAACAATGTGCTTAACATGGGACCTAACAAAGCAACACAGCCAGAAGAATGGCATTTTGGTTAATTCAGTTTTTTTCAGTCTTGATATAATAAAATAACGCTTCACTTTTTAACTGAACATCTGTGGCCAGAATGAAGCCTTGTAAAACCTATGGGGGGTGGGCGGTGGGAAGACACAACTATCATAGCAATAGATAAAAAAGAAGGAAAACAAAATTAATATACTTAACTAATCCCAAATAAAGTACACCAACAGAACACAGGCTGCTGTTAACACTTATAAATTATACAAACATAGACAAGTTTTGTCTACTCTACAAGAAAACTCAGTCACAACCTTCTACTAACTAGATAAAGGCTGGCTACTTTCAAAGCCTTTACTCCAGAAAAAAGAAAGGACTCCTTAAAGTTGAAAGCATGATTAAGAAAAATACAACAATATGGGGTCTTCAGTCAGTTCCCTATGAGTAAACGCCAGTAAGAAAGCTCTCACTATGTTTGAGGAGAGGGGGCAGACTCTATACTGAAACCTAAGTCCTGTAATATAATATACTTAGTATTTGTCTTGGCTAGGGTATCTATTGTTGGGAAGAGAAACCATGACCACAGCCACTCTTATAAAGAAGAACACTTACCTGGGGCTGGTTACAGTTTGAGAGGTTTAGTCTATTATTGTCACTGCAGGGAAGCATGTTAGCCTGCAGGCAGATGTGGTGCTGGAGAAGGAGCTGAGAGTTTTACATCTTAATCTGCAGGCAGCAGAAGGAAATGCCATACTAGGCCTAACTTGAGCATAGGGGATCTCAAAGCCCACCCCAATAATGACACACTTCCTCCAACAAGGCCACACCTCCCAATAAGGCCACTCCCTAGGGCCAAACATTCAAATACATGAGTCTATGGGGGCCATTCCTAGTCAAACCACCACAGTATTCATTCACCCTTTCAACAGATAATACTCTGGGCCTAAGAACAAGTGAAGTACGTAGCAGTAAGTCAAGGAGACACTACCTCTGTCCTCAGGTGCTGAGAGTCTCTTTTAACCAGTATTGTGTGAGCCTTTTAATTCTTTACCTGTGCATCATAAATCCGGTGCATAGCTTGGTATAATTGGTTCATATAATTGGAAATAGCAGTAGCATCTTCTTCAAATACACCCAGTAAAGATCTTGTCTATAAAAAAAATTAAATTTACATAAATCAGTATATAAATCAGACAGTGAAACATTTTTCTAAAAGCAGTAAAATACTAGAACTCTAGTAATTCTGACTTTTAATCTATTTAAACTCTTTTGATAGTAATGTCAAGAAGTCAAAGGATTTTTTATTCTGTTTCATTTCATTAAAGTAGCAGCATAAAGCTGGGCATGGCGGGCAGTGGTGGCACACTCCTTTAATCCCAGCACTTGGGAGGCAGAGGCAGGTGGATCTCTGTGAGTTCAAGACCAGCCTGGGCTACCGAGTGAGATCCAGGAAAGGTGCAAAGCTACACAGAGAAACCCTGGGGGGGGGGGGGGGGGGGGGCGGGGAGCTGGGCATGGTAGTGCACACTTTTATCCCAGCATGTGGAAGGCAGAGCAGATCTCTGAGTTTGAGCCCAGCTTGGTCTACAGAGAGAATTCTAGGACACCAGGACTACACAGAAACGCTGCCTCGAAAAACAAACAAACAAACAAAAATAGCAAGAAGAACAAGGGTGTGCTTACAAATTAAAACAGGAAGCAATTCATGGTGGCACTACCCTGCCCCAATACACACATACAGTTGTTCATTTTAAGATAGGGCAAGCCGGCCTCAAACTCATGGTGGTCATTCTGCTTTCAGCCTCTGAAATGCTGGGACTACAGACATGAGCCACCAAGCTCTAATTTTTCAACTTAGCAACTAATAGGCCACAGGCCATTTTACTGGGACTGGAGAAGCTACAGCACTAGAAATCAAATCCATGGCCTTGACTGCTAGGCCAGAGATCTACCACTGACCTACATCCTCTGCCCAGTGGGTCACTTTTGATTAGGATTGAAAGATCTATTTTAAAAAGGTGTACACTAAGCCAGGCAGTGATGGTGCATGCCTTTAATCCCAGCACTCAGGAGGCAGAGGCAGGAGGATCTCTCTGACTTCCAGGCCAGTCTAGTCTACAAAGAAAGTTCTAAGACAGCTAAGACTATACAGAGAAACCCTGTCTCGAAAAACCAAATAAATTTTTTTTTAAAAAAAGTACATTAGGAGCTTTTAGAGTTTTCCTATTCTTTATTATTCTTACTGGATTATTTTCTAAATAAACTGAGAAAGATATATACCCAAAAGCATTCACCTCAGCCCTATTTATAAAAGCAGAACTTTGGAAAAACTCTAAAACAATGAGAGATGGATATGGTACACTTGCTGTAGTCCTAACTATTCTGGAGGCTGAGGCAGAGGGATCTCTCGAGCTAGCCTGAGCAACACAAGAGTTTCCTCTCAAAACAAAACAAGGATCTTTTTAAAAGACATGAAAGTAAGAAGACTAGTTGGGAAGAGAAAGGGAGAACAAGAGAGGTGAGGGGCAAATACAATAAAAATGGAAATGTCATAATAAAATTGTTATGTGGAATTAATATATGCTAATACGCTAATAAAACATTTTAAGAGACGCCTGTTAAATCACTTAAGGAAATATGCAGGCTTGGAATCTTTATCTCAGAATACCACGAAGACATTTAAGCTGTAAAGTACTCATGTAAAAAGCTGGATATGGTGGCAGGTGCATGTAACCCCAGTGCTGGGAAGGCATAGACAAGCAGGCCCTTGGGGCTTGCTGCCCAGCCAGCCTGGCCTATATGATCCCCTGAGATCCCGGTCTCTATGGAAGACACTATCTCAAAACAACAAGCTAGGCGGAGGCTGAGGAGGAATGGCACCTGAGTTGGCACTCTAGCCTCTCCATGCGTGTATGTACAAGAACAGCTGCATACGCATAATCACGTTCTAATAGGGCTGGGAGGGTGGCTCAGTAGATAACGCCCTTAGCCTGCAAACTCGAGGCCCAGAGTCCAGATTCCCCAGAACCCATGTAAACACTGGGCATGTGTGGAGATCCCATGCACTCTCAGCACTTGTATGGCAGAGACAGGATAGATACCTGGGGCAAGCTGGCAAGCTGGACTAGCTGAATTAGCAAACCCAGGGTTCAGAGAAAGACCCTGCATCAATAAATAAATGGTAAGCAATCAAGGAAGATGAATCAATTCTGGACCTCCATGCACATGAGCACACATACACAGACATGCAAACACATGCATACATACATGAACAACACATATACACACACAAATTAAATAAATAAATAATAAATAAAAACAAGATTGAGGATTTATCTTAGTGGTACATCATTTGCCTAGCAAGTGCAAGATCCTGGATCCATTCTCCAGTCCCCCCAAAAATCATTGTTTTAAATTAAAAAACAGGGGCTGGAGAGATGGCTCAGTGGTTAAGAGCACTGGCTGCTCTTCCAGAGGATCAGGTTCAATTTCCAGAGCCCACATGGCAGCTCACAACCATCAGAAACAGTTCCAGTTCCTCTTCTGACCTACGTGGGCAAGTGGTACACAAACACATGCAGCCCGAACACCCACCCACATAAAAGCAAATTTTAAACTAAAAACAACAAAGCAACAACTGGAAGTCCTTGTGGTTCAAGCTTGCACTCAGCAGTCAGGGGCAGGAGGCACTCGTGTCTGAGGCTGGCCTGGGCTACAGAAGGAGCCTGATTCAATCTGTCAACTAATTACATGGAAAATTCAAGATTATCTCGTCGAAAGTCACAGACAGGGCACTGGCAACCCATACTCTTTATAGTCTTTATGGGCTATAAAAAGTAGACTGAGTAAAAGAAGTTCAGTGTATTGAGTCTTAATTTTTAAAAAGTAAAAAGATAAAGTTACACTGACCAATACAACCACAAAATTGTTGCAAATCATCTGAAATATCGCTTAAGATTTTACAGAGAAAGTCATTAAGCAAAATTTAAACCATCTGTGAGTTTCTCTTCCTCATATTGCCTGATAAGAGTATATTACCTCCGAGCAACTGGCCTATGAAGATAGCTTTCAGAATGAGGAAAAAAAAAAAAATCAATTCTACAATCAGCGCCCAATTTCAACCTGGAAATCAGAACTGGCACAAAATCCATGGCAAATGTGTCATCCAGGAAAACAAGCTCTAGCCCTTTTCTTTTCCTGGGGGGAGGGGGGGCGGTGGCATTACACTATAAATGCCATATGATATGTATTTCTCAGCCAGCAATAGTTAAGAAATCCAACATTGTTTTATATCCCTTACTATATACAAAAGCGGCCATAAGGATGAAGTGGACGCAAGTCAGAGGCCCTAACACCTTTTAAAAATACAACTGATTTCATTCCGTACTGATAAAGAAATCCAGCAGTCACGCTTTCCCAAACTGTCTTCAGCTAGAGCAACCTCACCAGCATCCTTCCCAACTGCACAAAACAGGGCTTTTATTTTGATGAGTTTATTCGGGCCAAGTCTGCAAACCCAGGGCTCAGCAGCGTCGGCGCCTTCCCGTCACCCGGGGGGTGCCCAGCTCAAGTGACAGCCGCCGGCCCGAGACTCCGGACACGACACCCCGCGGGGAGCAAGGCGCGCGCCCCTGCGTCCACCGGCGTGGCACACTCCGCCTCGCAGCCCCTTCCGAAGGAAACCAGCCCCCGCCGCGCCCCGCGTGCCAGGCCTCCTCCGAAAAAACGCCAGGACCGAGGGCTTATCTCACCACATCGTACCATCGCGATAAAAAAACCCAGCACCTCCCGTGAAAGGCAGAGGAGACCCGGCGCGGATTCCAGCAAGCGCCAGGCCCCGCCGGGGACAGCGGCGGCCGCTCCGTCTCAGTCCGCGGCCCA